ACGCATATATATTAATATGCGTTTCTCTAAAGCCCTTCGGGCTAGGAACATCAAAACAATAAATTTTATATCGGTAAACGACTTCAGCTCAAGCTTTTTCAATTACAACCGATTTCGTTGCTTAAAATCGAAATTTTAATTCCATTTTAATACCACTGGGAAAAATCGTAATTGAAGGGATTAAAAGTTGGCAGGTATGCTTGTTCCATGTACTAGATAAAATCTTCATTCGCAGATTTAACACACAGGCATGTAAAAATTTGTTGTTTAAGATGAAGTTTCAAGAAATTACGGCTAATTAATCACGCTAACAAAATTTCATTGTTAATTATTAACCCCTTGGGGACGGGTGATTCAGAAGAGCATTCGTACAAACTCAGAATCAGGATGTAATTAAATAAAAAACGGTAACTGAAATGTAGTCGTTGCTAATTTGACAGACTTACNAATAAAAATCCATAACTACCAATTGTTTTCAACGGATGCAATTTTTATATTGAATTGCTTCTTCGCCTTGATGAATTTCCTTACAGATTATTGTTGACTCAACAATGTTGAGAATAGATTAACTCCTCCCGAATATTCTCTAATATATTGAAATAGTTCTTCTACCAGTATTTTCTCTTTTCCCGCACCAGTATTTTCATTTTTCTCGGCGTGAACGTGTTAATAGAAAGGTAAATTAATTTTAATTTGGTATTTTTCATTTTTAGCAATTTTTCCACCTCGATACACTGAAAATTGAAAATAACATATCAAAGGCGATTTTATTGTAATTATCTTGAGGGGACTCTGAAAGACAAGGTGTAGTTATTCGTACTACGTATTCTACACGTTTTACTTTTTTATTCACTACCAATTTATTAAAATTTTTGCTGAAAGCGGAGCAGTTGATTCTTGTATGTACACTGCTCAAAACAATTAGGGGAGCCATGTGCTCCCCTAATTTTTTTGAGCAGTGTACATATATATATACACTGCTCAAAAAAATTAGGGGAGCACATGGCTCCCCTAATTTTTTTGAGCAGTGTACTTGATTTTTGTTCCATGAACTTGATAAAATCTTCATTCGCAGATTTAACACACCTAATCTTCCTAACAGATTTAACACACAGGCATGTAAAAATTCGTTGTTAAAGTTGAAGTTTCAAGAAATACGGCTAATTAATGACGCTAACCAAATTTCATTGGAAATTATTAACCCCTTGGGGACGGGTGATTCAGAAAAGCATTCGTACAAAATCAGAATCAGGATGTAATGAAATAAAAAACGGTAATTAAAATGTAGTCGTTGCTAATTTGACAGACTTACTTTGCTTTTACTTTAATTATTGTTAGTTTAAGCATATATATAATCAATGTTAGATCAAAGTATAACTAGTTTTATTTTGAACAAAGTAATGGTGAATTAAATAAATCAAACAATTATAACTCCGCCCACAAGTAAACTGCTAAAGAATTACTTTGATTACCAGTTATATCTTTTTACCCTGATTGATACGGCTTTATGCTGGCACGTATTTGTGACAGTCGGCGTGAAAGGGTTAATAATACCGGTTAATGTGATTAATATGCATAATTTATTACTAAAACGCTTGGTCATTATCATTCATCTGGGGTCAAAATCTCCCATTAAAATTAAAACGGCGGTAAGAAAATTATGGTATTTTTCATTTTTTTTTTGAAAGAAGCGAGATATTTTAACTGCCACGTTATGTTAACAACATGAGTAATGATACTTAGTTTTAAAAAACGAATATGTTCACGAAGTGATACACGGTATTATACTAATACATTGCATACGGGCAACTTTTTCAAAAAATTTATTACTACTGCCGTAGATTAAAATTTTAAGAAAATGATATGCAAGATAGTATAAAATTTTCCCGCAAACTTGTCATTATAGCTACAACTTTAATTTTAAAAAATTTGAATGTTATGCTGACGGCATGCATACTGAATCATTTATGTTTGTGGTTATCACGAACTTCTTTAAAAAACAGAGCGGAAAAGAAATAGTTTTGCTGCCATTTTTTGAACTTTAGTATGGGATGGCATAAATTTCATAAACGTATTCTTACGTGATCCGCTTGCAATGTGTTAACCCATTCACGTCAGGAATTTTGCTTTGCAAAAATATGAAAATTACAACAAGAGTGGTAGTTCTTTAATGTTTAAATCAAGCGGGAGCATTCTTGCGTTAACTACATTGTAGGTTTTTTAATAAATCACATATCCACAGGGATGCCACAGACGACTAATGACTAAACATATAAAAGAGGTAAAAATTTTATACATTTTTTAAAATTTATTATCTCTTTAATTAAATTATTATTAATCGTAACTTACCACTATGACTTACTTTTCCAATTATTCATATTTAATAGAGCCCCTGAATTAGAGCCTAGTATAGTATAGTGCCTTAATATTTAAAGCAACACAAACTTTTAATTCACTTGTGATTGTAAAGCGAAAAAAATATACCATAAAAATTTGCTAATTTCAATCATATTAACCCTTTCGCGCCGACTGTCACAAATACGTGACAGCATAAAACCGTATCAATCAGGGTAGAAATATAAAACTGGTAATCAAAGTAATTCTTCAGCAGTTTATTTGTGGGCGGGGTTATAATTGTTTGATTTAATAAATGCACCATTACTTTGTTCAAAATAAAACTATTTAGTTATACTTTGAATTAACATTGATTATATATATGATTAAACTAATAATTAGTGTAAAAGCAAAGTAAGTCTGTCAAATTAGCAACGACTACATTTAAGTTACCGTTTTTTATTTAATTACAACTTGATTCTGATTTTGTACGAATGCTTTTCTGAATCAACCGTCCCCAAGGGGTTAA